CCCTAACCAGCTCCAACAATCTGTGATTCGTGGAGGAGAAACATCCATGCCATTCATTATTAGCTCAGACATGGCCCTGCCCACAGCCATGGCTCAATGGCCCACTCACTCTGGAGGAGTGTCACACAGGAAAGAAGATGCTAGCAGTCACAGAGACTTTATACTTGGTCAGGGAAACAAATGACAAAACCAGCAGAAGCAACAACAAAAGCAGGCTCATTTCCCTTGGCGTGTCCACGTACTTGTTCCTAAAGGGAACTTGAATAACTCTCAAGTGGAGGCTTACATCTTGTGTTAGTACTGTATTGGGGCCATAACAAATTACCACAAATGGAGATGCTTAAATAACACAAACTTCTGACCTACAGAACTGTAAGATAATAAGTCTGACCTGGTCTCCCGGGGCGAACATCCAGGTGTGCACAGGCGGTGTTCCTCTCTAGAGGCTCTGGGGGAGGTCCAGTTCTCTTGCTCATTCAGGTTATCGGTGGGATTTAATTCCTTGCTGTTGTAGAAATTGAACCTCCTCCCCCCGCCAGTCTTCTCCTTTCTCAGCTCTCCAGTGCCAGGGAAGTTTCTCTGCTTTTAAGGACTAATGTGATAAGATTGGGCCCACACGGACAATCTGGGATAATCTCCCCATTTTGAGGCCCTTTATCTTAATCCCTCTGCAAAGTCTCTTGCAGCATAGGAGTCCAAGGTTCCAAGGATTAGGATGAGGGCCTGGGGGTGCAGGGGAGGAAGGTATTATTCTGCCTACACTGTGCCTCCAGAAAGTTGGTTTTTGTTTTGTTTTGTTTTTTTAACTAAAAGAAAGGGGGTGGGGGTGGATAAGAAGCAGGGGTGGGAGCTTGTGGTGCAGAGTAGGTCGTAGGTTTGTCTTCAGAGTCACTGAATATTGATCCTGGACAGGATGAAAATATTTATCTGATATAAATTATCCCCCACCCCACTCGTAGGTAGAGGGGAACCTTGGACACTGAGAATGCTGGCTCTTGCCTTTCTTTTAGCTCAGGGATAAGAAAATAGTATGTCTAATTCTATTAGTATGTGTTCTCTGAGAACCATCAGCAATGGCTGAAAACAGCCTCCCTTCTGGGCCAGAGCTTTCATCCTTGTGCCTGAGCTCTCTGCTTTTGTAGGCATACTTTAGAAAGTCTGGCCCTGTTGGTCATGCCTTATTTGCACCCAGTTCATCTTCTTCAGCACTAACAACATCAGGGAATGGAATTTGGGCATTAACAAAAGAAATGAAAGAAGACAAAAACAAAAATACAAAAAAAGAAAGGAAAAGAATTTCTGATTTTTAGATCCTTCATGTACTTGGATCTGTCATGAGCACTATGAAGGCGCACACAGGATTTGTGTCTTTCCACAGTGTCAGCTTTATTCATTCATAAAGCAAAGGTAAATCGCAATGATAAAGCGGGTTCAGGATTCCAAACTCAATGACCATTCACCATGGGATTAAACCTGGCTTCTTACACAGCACATGGAGCAGGAGAGAAGACAAGCCACACAACAAACAAGCTAACAGAAGGGTGCAGGCAGTTAAGGAACCGAACATGAAGTCGATCTGTGGGCGCACAGTTGAGATAAGGCCTTGGTCTGGTCCAGGTCAGCTCTCCGAACTCGCTGCTTCTGATGTTCAAGCAGCGAAGGATCTCAGTTCTGTTCAGAGATCTGGCAGAGCCTTCGGCAGCAGTTGCCTTTTTAAAGTGGTCAGACATAGAGGGGTCAAGGTCTGAAGAGTCTGACAGTTTGCAGCCAAAACCCTACCCTTTTTGAAGGGATTTCATCAGTTTTGGGTCTCTGCAGACCTCCTGTGGTTCTGCTCCTTATCATTTCTGGGAAGTCAGCTGATGTGGGTCTGGTGCTATCTCCTAGCTGTGGTACCTGAACTGCTCGCGTCAGTGCTTGTCGCAGGCCCCTGCTTGACCGGAGGGACTCCATTTGCTCTCTACAGGATCTGAACTCCAAATTAGATGGCTTTGAACACCTTTTCTTTCTTTTTTTTTTTTTTTTTAAGATTTTTGCTTTTTACTTATTTATTTGAGAGAGAGCGAGAGAGAGAGCAGAAGGAAAGGGCACAGGGAGAGGGAGAAGCAGACTCCCTGCTGAGCAGGGAGCATGAGGAGGGATTCGATTCCAGGACCCTGGGATCATGACCTGAGCCAAAGGCAGACGCTCAACTGACTGAGCCACCTAGGCGCCCTCTTTTTTTTTTTTTTTTTAAGACTTATTTATTTTAGAGAGAGCATGAGTGGGAGGGGTAGAGGGGCAGGGCGTAGGGTTCCATCTCACAACCCTGAGATCACGACCTGAGCCGAAACCAGGAGTCAGACACTTAACAGACTGTGCCACCCAAGCACCCCTGAACTCTTAACATAGGAATGACGAAGATGTCTTCATTCATTCAGTATTTATTGGGTGCCCACTCTGTGCAAGACGTGACTAGTCCAGAGATTTTTGGGAGGAAGAGGCTGGGTGTTGTTATTTCAAAAACAGTCACCCAGCCAACTCCCGAGTTTTTGTGAAAGGGCTGGCCTTGTGGATTTGGAGTTTGTGCACCTCCCACAATTGTTTAATGATAGAGAGGAACCTGAGCCTCCCTGGAGTTATGTCCCTTTAGTCAATTAATTATTCAGAAGACAGTTTCTAGTTTATAGCAGGAGGAAAAAGATGCTGTCCTTTTGATGTGGGGAGCAAAGGCAAAAGAAATGTGGTAAAATTAAATTGCCTTATAACCTGCAGCCCATTGACAAATACTTGAGGCAGGCAGAGTATGACCTTCCTCCAGGATATCATTCCTCCCAACTGTCTTAATAATTAACGCTTTGCTAGAGGGAAAAACAACCTTAGCTTGACAATAGCCAGGCCTCCGGGATCCTGTGTGTCTTCTTTAGCATATGAAAGTCCTTTTGGAAACTTCCCCAACTCCAAAGTGTCTAATCCTCACAATCCCTGGTCAGCAGTCCTTTCTGCCCACGGGTCCTGTCCCCGTGCTTCAGTAAAACCACCGTTTTGCTTGGCCCTCAGCTCTGAACCCCAACCTTCAAACCACATCACTGGCTTTTTCGTAGCTTTCTTAGGGACATTTTTTCTGGCATGCTCTGGCGAGAAAGGAAACATCGCGTTTTGAAAAGGATGGAAGTATAACATTCCAATGCTTTCCACTCTTGTGGATTCTGATAAGCAGAATTTAGGAAATGTTTCTGGAAAAAAAATGATTTTTTCCTAATCTCCCAGTAAAATGTTGTGAACGATTTTTCTCCACGTTAATGCAACAGCATCTTTGATTTGGACAGTTTTTCTTCACAAAGAGAAACATTCCAGTTCTGGATATTGCTGTGTGCTGGGATGGAAAACAAATGGACGAGAGGGATGGAGCCCTGCCACTCCTTGGTTCTGTCTCATTTTGTGGGTCATTTTAACCTCTCTAAAGTTTTGGTTTCCATGAGGTAATAATCATCTGCATCAGAGATCTTGGTGTATCATGACAAACCAACTACAGGTTTACTCGTACACTTAAGCAGAAAAGAATTTACTAGAAAGGTATTGGATAGCTTACCACATCTCAAGAAAGGAAAATGTGTACGAACAAGTCAGGTAAGGCAGCTGCCAGGATCGAAGCTCAAGTATGTCACACCATGGTCTGGTGGACATAACAATGTCCAGTGGTTGGATGCTGGCTGCTAGTTGGCACCCCTAGCTCGTGGGAGCTCAGCATTGCTGCCTTCTGCCTGCTGATACGGTGGATTCTCTACGGTCTGTGCTGTTTAGCATCACTAATTTCTAATTCAATGGGGGAAAGGTGTGTCTGCTTACAGAATTTAGGTCATCTGCTATTCCCTAGCAGTGAAGCAGTCTGGGGAAGCAAGTGTGTAGTAGTTCAGCTTCTATAGGAGAGGTGGGTTCTTCCAATCCACCAAAACTTTTAAGACTGGGGAATTTCCAAACATGAGAAAGAAATCTGGATGCTGGGGAGCCAAACCAAACCAAACAACTGCTGGAGTCCATCCCTTTGGTGGTTGGTCTAACATTTTCCTAATTCCTTTTTCCCATATTTATACTTTCAAAAGAAAAAATTCCTCCCACACAACCTAATGCAACTAAACTTTGTATAATTTAAAATGCTCTCACCCCTACTGGGAGTTACCCCAAGGATCTTCTGGATCCAGTCAGCCTGTTCCCAGCCTCATTCTGTGGCAGCATCCCTCTTTCCTCTTGATATTTAGGATCAATCATCTCGACAACACTGGAACAAGGGCAAAGCCTGTTTCACAGGCTGCTCAGGAGACTGAGCTTATAATTGGCTCTTTAGGGCATCTGAGATCTCTACTCTAGTTAGAGGCTCAGAGACAGTGAGCGTCATTGTGGGTGGAGTGGGTGATGACCTGGCTTGACCCTTGCAATGTGCCTCCCTCTGGGTGCAGGATCATGGGCTGAAAGCATCTCATTGGACAAGAAGGGAGTGGCTGATGAGGAAGACTCAGAGTGAGGTTTCTGAGTGCTCTGAGTCAGCCAAATGCTGGCACATTCCCAATTCCAGTACTCAGGGTTCAGTTCTTTCTAAATCTCGCACAAAACATACCGTGAGACTGTCAGTTCAACATTTAATCTGGTGACCCACAGAATCAAACCTTTTTCTTTTTTCAAGATTTATTTATTTGAGAGAGAGAGAGCTTGAGCAGGAGGGGCAGAGGGAGAGGGAGGGAGAATCCCAAGCAGACTCTGTGCTGAGCATGGAGCCTGAGGCAGGGCTCAGTTCCTTGATTCCAAGATCATGACCTGAGACGAAGCCAAGAGTCCGACACCCAACAGCCTGTGTCATCCAGGTGCCCCATAATCAAACTTTTGAGGGTTTTTTTTTTTATCATGGGAAAATATACATAAGAGAGCTTTATTTTTTAAGTTATATAAAGTCTTGGATTTTAGTCCATGTTGTAAGGGTAAAATGCAAGAATTTGCGCTTATTATTTTTTCTTTATTCTGACCAGTGACATTAGAAGAAACCACTGCACTCCACAGTTCTTGGATTCCTTATACTGTTCGTGTTGGCCTATGGCTTCTTTGTCCCTCATATCTTCCCTTCAGTGGATTCCCTATTCCATGTGGACATAGGTAAGAATCTAATTAGCAGAGATTCTTTATAGTTCCTGCCTTTCTGGGTCACTAACTTCTGATTCAAGTCTGGATCAGTCTGTCTGACAGTCTGGCCCAGGGCCCCTTGCTAACTTCCAGTTGCAAGGGGGTCTTGGAAAGTGAGTACCTGGCTTTCCAGCCTTTATAGAGGGAGGTAGACTGCTTCCAGCAAGACTCATGGGACAGGGGATTCCTCAAATGTATGCCTGGGGTAGATGCTGGGCAGCCTAAAACCCAACCAGGGTCTAGTGCACTTCCTTATGAGGTTGTTAGGGAGATTTAAAAAGATTATATATATAAAGCATCCAACATAGTACCTGATACATATTATATCTCAGTTGATGTTATTTCCTAGCATCTTCCTGGTTAATAAAATTGGCAGGTCTGAGCCATGAAGGATGGGACTGCAAATATATAGTTAAACTCAAGCATCAAAATTTGACATAGGATTTAGATAAAAGATTAAATAGTCAGACTAGGAAAAGTTATAGTAATTCATTATCTTCTGCTACTTAGAAAACTTTTATTTTTGGTATCAGCATTGGCATTTTAATTGAGAAAAAGCGTGACTATTCAGCTTTTTTTCTAAAAGTTTTTTAATAAAACCGGCTTACCAGTTTTTATCTGGTTCTTGTTATAAAGAAGAGATTAAAAAATTTAAAATTTGAATTCATCTTCATCCATGGCAAGTTATTTAGACTGGGTGTGCATTCTCTGTATTGATTGCTCCTGCTGGCTGTTCCATCTGGGTGTCTGAGTTAGTTTTGCATATTCGGTTTAAACTTATGACCATGTGTAAAAGGATCAGCGGAAATGAGAAAATACTGTTTTGACTCCCAAGCCCAATCTGAAATCAGAATGAAATTGGTTATGAATTTTCTAGTCACAAGCGCATTGGAATGAGAGGCCCCAGAGGCATATTTATTGGCTTGGAGATGTTAACTTTCTCCGTTGGCTTCCATAAGCAACAAAAGGTCACCTCTCAAGATTCACTCTGCATGACTTGTGATTCCTTTGCATGTATCTACATCCATTAATTCATTCATCAAACATATTTTTGAGTTCCTAGGACATATTGGATATTATGTCAGCCTCTGAAAGCACAGTGAAGAAAAGCCTGGCCTAATAGAATAGGTCAGACAGACGTATAAACAAGTAAGTGTAGTGTTGTGTGACAAGTGTGATGATCAATGTATGTGCAAAGATGAGTGGGGGCTCAAAGGACAAATGTTTAACTGTGGTTGTGGGGGAAGTGGATTCAAAGAAGTTTTCACGGAGGAAGAGACACTTGAGCTGGACCTGGAAGGACAGCACAGGGGCTCCCCAAGAGAAGGGGAGAGGGCATTCCAGATAGGGGCATGGCCTGTGTGCAGGCATGAAGGCATGAGGTGGCCTGGTGCCGTGTGAAACTGCAGGTAGTTTGGACCACAGAGCAGGAGAGGGAGTGTCAGGACATGAGGTTGGAGGGGAGGCCAAAGCCAGAACCTGGGGGGCCTCTCATGTCACGCTTTGGAATGGACCCTTCACCCTAAAGGCGCTGGGGGCCATTGGTGGGGCAGGTTTGAATTTAGAGCAGTTATTCTGAAAGCAAACGTATGATCAATTGGAAGTGGAGGTTGAGGGTGGAGCAGGCTGAATTTGAAGGCGGGGAAACCAGCGAGGGCAGAGAACATTGCAAAGGTGCCTGTTGGAGGCGAGCAATGTCCATCTTTGACTCTGTCTCCATTCGATGTGATGAAGCTATTGTAGCTGTATTGGTAAGGAAATCCCAGGGCTTGTCAGATCACTTCCGTTTCCTAGAATGTCACTTATGGCAATGTGGCAGAGGCTGCCAGCTGGCCCCCAGAGACGCGTGTGCCCCTCGCATGGTGTAGAGCAGTGCTGGAAAGCAGATGCCCAGCCAGGAGCTCCGGTAGCAAGGCACCCCACCCCCGCCCCGCACCCCTGCAGCCTGGTGGGCATGTGTGACTAGTTCTCAGCAGAGGAGGGATCAATCATCTCTACAACACTGGAACAAGGACCACACCTTCTCCGCCTTGCTGGCTGCCAGTCCCTGTCACCACTTGGAGGAGAGCTGCAGGACAGGACTGGACTTTATTGTGCTATTGACTCAACAGTGAGCCTGCCCTGATACGGCCTGTCTGTACTGTTGCCAAATTATAGAAATTTGTTATTAGACTTGGTGGGCTTGCTGCCAAATTATTCAGGCTAACTCTAAGTCAGTTCATGGATTATGAATTATTTTGACAGTGACACCATCCAGAGACCTAGGTAGTTTGTGTCCTTTTTATTGAGAGCTGTCCCCATGATTTCTGGAGTTGGAGGTCGGGCCATTCTGTGTTCCACAGAGTGACTCAAGCCAGAGGAAGTCAAACGCCATCACTCATGCCCCCTCTCTGGACTGTGTCCCGTCAGTTTAGCCAAGTTACGCTACACCTTGTTTTGAGTACCGTTTTGGTTCTTCTTTCTTTTTCATTTCCACAAACATTTTTTTGGCACCTCTCATGTGCCAGGCCTATTCATAAAGTTTCACTTTGGGCCTGGGACTGTGCTAGATTGTTCTGGTGCAATGATGAACAAGAAAGACATGGTCTCTGCTCTCCTGAAACATAGAGTACTGGTGGCAGGAGAGAATTAAGGAAACTTTTCAAAATGATATGACAAGTACTGTGTTTGGGGGAGAACAGGATGCCTTGAAAACAATGGAAGGAATATAAAACCTGAGCTTGGAAATTCAGGAAGGCTTCCTGGAGGAAGTGATGTTTAAGCAGATATATCAGCGTTGAATAGGAGTTAGTCTGATGAAGAGTAGGAGACAGAGTGTTCTAAGAGGAGAAAGATAGTGTGTGCAAGGGCCTAGAGGAGAACTAAAAGAAGTTGTTGGCCCCTTGAGAACAGAGTACAAACTGGGAAATGGCAAAGGCTAATGTTGGAAAAGGAAGCAGAGGCCTGACGATGAAAGGGTTATAAGCCATGTAAGGGGACTGTCTTATGTTAGGGTACCCCAAAAGCAGAAACCAAGGCAAGTAGAAGTAGTTTATTTGGAAGTTGGTTACAGAAAGCACAACGAAAGAATGGGGAAATAAGCGGAAGGGAAGAAAGTGTTAACCAGCAGGGTGCTGCTCTGGGCAGCTGAAGCTCAGTGCCACCGGAGATGCCTGAGAGTGTGGGGACAGGCCTCTGAGTTGTCACACTGGTCCGGAAGGCGGGGCATTTATCCAGCACTGTCGTCCCTCATTGGTTGGCGGTTGCACCTGGGAACCTTAGTTCCTTCCACTTCTGGTCCGTCCCGGGCTCCTCAGAGAATGGCCTCGGGTGGGCTGAGAGACAGAGCCTCTGGAAGCCATGGTGTGCATGGGAGCAGTCTGGAGCTGATATTCAGGGTGGGCCACGGGGTGTGGCATAGCGCCGACAGCAGCTCCCAGAGGTCTAAACGTTGTCCTAAGAACAAATGGGATCTATTGCAGGTTTGTTTTTTTTTTTTTAAAGATTTTATTTATTTATTTGAGACAGAGAATGAGAGACAGAGAGCATGAGAGGGAGGAGGGTCAGAGGGAGAAGCAGACTCCCTGCCGAGCAGGGAGCCCGACGCGGGACTCGATCCCGGGACTCCAGGATCATGACCTGAGCCGAAGGCAGTCGCTTAACCAACTGAGCCACCCAGGCGTCCTATTGCAGGGTTTTTAAGAATGCGTTTTAGAATGCTCATTTTGGCTGAATGGAAAGGGTGGATTAGATTGGGGCAAAACTGAAGTAGACAGATGAGTTCAGAGTTATTTTTATTTTTATTTATATGACAGAGAGAGAGAGGGAGCACCAAGCAGGGGGAGCGGCAGGCAGAGGGAGAAGCAGACTCCCCACCGAGATCATGACCTGAGCTGAAGGCAGACGCTTAACCAACTGAGCCGCCCAGGTGCCCCAGTTCAGTTATTTTAATAAAATTTCCTTTCTGCTTGAATAAGCCTGAGTGAATTTTATTGTTTGAAACCAAGAACCCTGAAAAGGTCAGCTTTGTAATTTGTGTTGGGGGTGGGGGGCGAGATGATGAACATAGTTTTTTTGTTTTTTTAAATAGATTTGACTATTTGGAGCATTTTTAGATGAAACTGAGTGGAAAGTACAGAGATTTTCCCATATGCCCCCACCTCCACACCCCCACATATGTGCAGCCTCCCCCGTTATCAACATCCCCCACCGGAGGGTACATTTGTTACACGTGCTGAACCTACACTGATGCATCTTTATCACCCAGAGTCCACAGATTATATTACAGTTTACTCTTGGTCTTGTACGTTCTATGGGTTTGAACATACGTATAATGACTTGTATCCACCATTCTAGTATCATACAGAGTAGTTTCACTGTCCTAAAAATCCCTTGTGCACTGCCTACTTATTCATTCCTCCATATTTCCTAATTCCTGGCTACCACCAATCTCTTTGCTGTCTCCATAGATTTGCCTTTTCCAGATTGTCATATAATTGGAATCATACATCATGTAACCTTTTCAGACTGGCTTCTTCTTCTTCTTTTTTTTTTTTTAAGATTTTATTTATTTGACAGAGAGAGACAGCGAGAGAGGGAACACAAGCAGGGGGAGTGGGAGAGGGAGAAGCAGGCTTCCCGCTGAGCAGGGAGCCCGATGTGGGGCTCGATCCTGGGACCCTGGGATCATGACCTGAGCCGAAGGCAGACGCCTAATGACTGAGCCACCCACGCACCCCCAGACTGGCTTCTTTCACCAATTAATATGCATTTAGGTTTTCCCTGTGTCTTTTAATGGCTTGGCAGCTCATTTCTTTTTAGAGCTGAATAATATTCCATTGTTTGAATGTACCACAGTTTATTTATCCATTTATACACTGAAGAACATCTTGGTTGCTTCTAAGTTTGGGCAATTATGAATAAAGCTGCTATTAACATATGGACTTAAGTTTTTTCAACTCCTCTGGGGAAATACCAAGGAGTATGATTGCTGG